TTTCCCAACAGAAAGGCGTCCAGTTTCTCCGCCGGGCGCGGGACGGCATGCTGGATCGTCTGCTGGTGGTGCAGGGGGCGCTGTGTGCCCTCTGTGTGCTGCTGGCGTCCTTCACCTTCTTCCCGCTAGGTGCCGTCACGGCGGACTTCGAGAACAACTGTCTGCTGTATGCCAAGCTCAAGATCATCCAGTAGGTGCCCGGTTGTTTTGTTTCGTGCGATTGTCGTCAGGTCTTCTTTTTGTGTCTTAATTCTACCTCTATCAGTGTTTACCAAACTCTGTTCTTTTTATGCAGTCTATCGTCTTATTTTGATATGTTTGTTTGTAGTTTTTTTTTTAATCTTGTCGTTATGGCTTCTTTTCACATTTTTCGTCCTATTACGGTTAGGAACTTTGCCGTCGCATGCAGGAGGCTAGAGCTCGATTCTCTTGTAAGGAGAATTTTGATCGAGTACCTCGGTCTTTCTGCTGAGATTTCGTATCCCTCTCAGCCGGGGTTGGCCCTGACAGGCAGGATCGAAGAGTGCCTCCTAAATGATCTAAATGCGTTGATGACGGCGTAAAAGCGTCTTTATTTTTTTATTTTTTTTAAAATACAGACACATACAGTGTTGACAGATTCCCAGAAGAAAGGCGATATTACTCGATAAATAATATAATTCTCAGCCCATTAAATCACACCTGGTGTGGGTAGTTGGTGGATGCTCTGATGTGGTTTGCTCCCTCTTTGTGTCAGACATCTATCGTTTTAATCTCTCCTCCTTCATCTTTGTATACGTTACTCTCTTGTAACACATCTATTCTTTGGCACCTATATGACCTTATTGTGTTTCGAATGCCTTAAAATTCTTACAAAAACTAAACTAAATCACTCCCTTTTACGCATCTGATGAAGACCATAGCCAGTACATCACAGATACCTGAACCAAGTGGATCGTTGGCGGTTGCTCTGGTCTGGTTTGCTTCTTCTTTCCTATCAAACATCTATCGTTCTTACCTTCCCTTCTTTTTTATGCTTGTTACTATCTTGTAACACCTCTAATCCTCTGGCGCTCATATGACCTTATGCAGTTGCGACCGCTGTAAAAC